GTGGCCAGGTGCTTCCCGACAGAGCGTTTTTCCACCAGCAGTAAATTTCGATGAAATGGCATTTGGGGCTGGGCTGGAGTGGGGTGTAGAAAGGAAAGACAAAGAGCCTTTTGCTAAGAGGTAGGACTGCTCAGTGGTTAGTGCAACAGCCTGGGACTTAGCAAGCCTGGATTCAATTCCCTGCTCTGTCACACACTCCCTGGATGACCTTAGGCCCAACTCCATGCCTTAGTTTCCCCATCTGTACCGAGGGGACAAGAGCCCTGTCCTTCCTCAGGGGGAGGTTGTTAAAGAGAGTGAGGGGCTCAGCTGCTATGGGAACGGGGGGGCAAGAGAAGCCCCTATGCTACACCAACTGACCCTTGGCTCTGGCACTGGCTGAAAGGCGCTGCCCCATGGAATTCCTTCCCGGGAGAGGGGTGGCTGGATGTATGACTAGGAGGAGGGAGGAGAGATTTGCCCTCTGTTTGGGCAGACACAGCCTGATCTGGCAGGGGACGGGGGTGAGAAAAGGAAATGGGGCTCTTCTAAGCTCCACCCACTAAATAAGCTCCTCCCACCCCAGACATAATAGTGTCCAACTGTTCAAATGACCATGGTGCAGCTCTGGAGTCTGGGGTTGGCCTGGGCTACCTGGGGGCTTGGGGAACTTGCCCCTCTCCCAGCGACGGGCTCAGGCTCTCTGCAGACTCAGGCAGCATCGCTGGGTTGGTCACACTGGGGGCAGCTCCCTCCTTAGGCCTGCGTAGCGGCTTCGTCTCCCCTCTACCCCCAGGTGGACCCCCGTGCAGGGGGGGGTCTCAGCCCGGCTGCCCTGCCCCGCCCAGCTGGGATGCAGTGGGAATTTTCTGGCCTCAGGATTGCTCCCCAGCGGGGCGGCCGGATGAAATCCGCACGGTGGGGCCAGGGTGCCAGGGGCGGAACAACTGGGGTGTGAAGGGACCGGCTGAACCCCCCCGAGAACCCCCCCGGCCTTGGCCATCGACACCTAGGGGGGGGGGGGATCTGGGGCAGGCAGGACCCCGATGGGCCGAGGGGTGCCAGGCAGGCTGGGCAATGCAGCTGGCCGGGGGGAGGGGCAGACACGGGTCCCCCCGGAGCCGGGGGGGGGGGCAGAGCTCCTGGGGGGGGCGAG